CCCACTCTGCATTTCTTTCTTCTTAAAAAATTTATGTAAGGGGACAGCGCTGTGGCTCAGCGGGTTAATGCCCTGGCTTGAAGCTCTGGCATCCCATATAGGTGCCAGTTCGAGACCCAGCCACTCCACTTTTTTTTTTTTTTTTTTGACAGGCAGAGTGAACAGTGAGAGAGACAGAGAGAAAGGTCTTCCTTTGCCGTTGATTCACCCTCCAATGGCCGCCGCGGCTGGCACGCTGCAACCAGCGCACCGCACTAATCCGAAGGCAGGAGCCAGGGGCTTCTCCTGGTCTCCCATGGGGTGCAGGGCCCAAGCACTTGGGCCATCCTCCACTGCACTCCCAGGCCACAGCAGAGCTGGCCTGGAAGAGGGGCAACCGGGACAGAATCTGGTGCCCCGACAGGGACTAGAACCTGGTGTGCCAGCGCCACTAGGTGGAGGATTAGCCTAGTGAGGCGCAGCACCGGCCAGCTCCACTTCTGATCCAGCTCTGCTGTGGCCTGGGAAAGCAATGGAAGATGGCCCTAGTGCTTGGGCCCTGCACCCATGTGGGAGTCCCGGAAGAAACTCCTGGCTCCTGGCTTCGGATCGGCCCAGCTCTGGCCGTTGCGGCCAATTGGGGAGTGAACCATCAGATGGAAGACCTCTCTCTGTCTCTCTCTCTCTCTCTGTCTCTCCTCTCTCTGTGTAACTCTGACTTTTAAATAAATAAATAAATAAATCTTTTAAAAAATAAAAAATATATGTGAGGGGTCGGCGCCGCGGCTCCACCTAGCGGCACCGGGTTCTAGTCCCGGTCGGGGTGCCGGATTCTTTCCCGGTTGCCCCTCTTCCAGGCCAGCTCTCTGCTGTGGCCCGGGAAGGCAGTGGAGGATGGCCCAAGTGCTTGGGCCCTGCACCCCATGGGAGACCAGGAGAAGCCCCTGGCTCCTGCCTTCGGATCAGCGCGGTGCGCCGGCCGCAGCGCGCCAGCCGTGGCGGCCATTGGAGGGTGAACCAACGGCAAAGGAAGACCTTTCTCTCTGTCTCTCTCTCTCTCACTGTCCACTCTGCCTGTCTATATATGTGTGTGTGTGTGTGTGTGTGTGTGTGTGTGTGTGTGAGGGGCCAGTGTTGTGGTGCAGTGGATATGGCTGCCACCTGTGGCGCTGGCATCCCATATGGGCACTGGTTTGAATCCCAGCTGCTCCACTTCCAATCCAGCTCCCTGCTAACGGTTTGGGAAAAGCAGTGGAAGCTGCCCTGCACCCATGTGAGAGACCTGGAGGAAGCTCCTGGCTCCTGGCATCAGTCTGGCCCAGCCCTGGCCATTTTGGCCATTTGGGGAGTGAACCAGCAGATGAAAGGTCTCTGTTTCTCCTTCTCTCTGTAAGTCTGACTTAAAAAAAATTTATTTATTTATCTCAAAGTCAGACTTACACAGAGAGAGAAGGAGAAGCAGAGAGAAAGAGAGATCTTCCCTCTGCTGGTTCACTCCCCAATAGGCCAGAATGGCCGGAGCTGTGTCAATAGAAGCCAGGAGCCAGGAGCCTCTTCTGGGTCTCCTACATGGGTGCAGGGGCCCAAGGAGTTGGGCCATCTTCTGCCGCTTTCCTAGGCCATAGCAGAAAGCTGGACCAGAAGTGGAGCAGCCAGGACTTGAACTGGCGCCCATATGGGATGCCAGCACTGCAGACAGTAGCTATACCTGATATACCACAGCGCTGGCCCCAATAATATTTATTTGAAAGACAGAGTTACAGAGAGAGATAGAGACAGAGAGAGAGGTTTTCCATGCGCTGCTTGACTCCCCAGATGGCCACAACGGCCAGAGCTGTGCCGATCCGAAGCCAGGAGCCAGGAGCTTCTTTTGGGTCTCCCACGCAGGTGCAGGGGCCCAAGGACTTAAGCCATCTTCTACTGCTTTCCCAGGCCACAGCAGACAGCTAGATTGGAATAGGACCAGCCGGGACTAAAACCAGCACCCATATGGAATGCTGGCACTTCAGACCAGGGCTTTAACCCTCTGCCCCACAGCGCCGGCCCTTAAAAATTATTTTTAATTAAAATTTATTTGAGAGACAGACAACAGTAGTTCCATCCTCTGACTCACTCTCCACATGTCCGGAATAGCCAGCGCTGATCTGCGTTGACGCTTGTAGCCGGGAACTCAATCCAGGTCTCCCACATGAGCGGCAGGGACCTAATTCCTTGAACCATTGCTGGGTTCCGCACTTGCCGGAAGCTGGAATCAGGAGCTGGAGCCAGGGGTGGAACCCGGGCACTCTGATGGGGGGTGCAGCATCTTGACTGATATTTTCACCACGAGGCCAAACACCTGGCACTGAAGTTTTGCTTTTCTGGGAGGCCGATGGCATTTGCAATGCTTACCATCAGGTGTGCAGGGCACAGCAGCACATATACAATTATCATGGGCGTGTGGAGGAAGGACCACGTGAGGGCTCAGAGGCAGGCAGGCTCTATAAGCCTAGGAGAGGGGCCGCTGAGGCCATCAGCCCTGATCAGCCTTGATCCTGGTCCCCAGCCCCTAGAAATGGGAGAAAATAAACTTCCGTTGTTGAAGCCAAACAATTGTTATTTATTCCCTCCCTACTTCAAGAAAGTGATTTAGAAACAGCAAAGGTCTGTAGGTTAGAGATAATACTTTACCAATAGCAATAGTTTTTTTTTTTAATTTGACAGGTAGAGTTTTTTTTTATTATTATTATTTTTGACAGGCAGAGTTAGACAGTGAGAGAGAGAGAGAGACAGAGAGAAAGGTCTTCCTTTTTCCATTGGTTCACCCCCTAAATGGCCGCTAGGGTCGGATCCGAAGCCAGGTGCTTCCTCCTGGTCTCCCTTTGGGTGCAGGGCCCAAGCACTTGGGCCATCCTCCACTGCCTTCCCGGGCCACAGCAGAGAGCTGGACTGGAAGAGGAGCAACCGGGACTAGAACCTGGAGCCCATATGGCATGCCAGTACCGCAGGCAGAGGATTAACCAAGTGAGCCCCGGCACTGACCCTGACCAGTAGCGATAGTTTTGATATCCTACTACGGACAGGTAAAAGGTTGTCCTTGAGGGAAACTGAGTGTGGGGTACACGGGACTCTTTTTATATGGCTTCTGTAATCTCCTGTAAGTCTATAATTCTTTTTTTTTTAAAGAAAGATTTATTTATTTATTTGAAAGTCAGATTTACACACAGAGAGAAGGAGAGGCAGAGAGAGAGAGAGAGAGAGAGAGAGAGAGGTCTTCTATCCGCTGGTTCACTCCCCAGATGGCTGCAATGGCCAGAGCTGGCTGATCTGAAGCCAGGAGCCAGGAGCTTCTTCCGGGTCTCCCACGTGGGTGCAGGGGCCCAAGGACTTGGGTCATCTTCTACTGCTTTCCCAGGCCACAGCAGAGAGCTGGATCGGAAGTGGAACAGTTGGGACTCGAACCGGCACCCATACAGGATGCCAGCACCGCAGGTGGAGGCTTTACCTGCTACGCCACAGCACCAGCCCCTACAATTATTTCAAAACAAAAAATTTCAGAAACTGTTTAAGACCGTTGAAGCACAAATGTGTATTGAATATTGAATCAATTATATATGTATTAGATGGAACATACAGACTTGGCTTACAAGCTTATTTATTAAGTTTTTGTAATATTAAAAATATGGCCAGCGCTGCGGCTCACTAGACTAATCCTCCACCTTGCGGCGCCGGCACACCAGGTTCTAGTCCCGGTCGGGGCGCCGGATTCTGTCCCGGTTGCCCCTCTTCCAGTCCAGCTCTCTGCTGTGGCCCGGGAAGGCAGTGGAGGATGGCCCAAGTGCTTGGGCCCTGCACCCCATGGGAGACCAGGAGAAGCACCTGGCTCCTGGCATTGGATCAGTGCGATGCGCTGGCTGCAGCCCGCCGGCCGCGGCGGCCATTGGAGGGTGAACCAACGGCAAAAGGAAGACCTTTTTCTCTGTCTCTCTCTCTCACTGTCCATTCTGCCTGTCAAAAAAAAAAAAAAAATTAATACCAACCTGATGTACAACCTTAGGGGATCGCTTCAGAGAAGAGAGGTGCCATCCACACAAGGGCAGAAAACACCACGGAGAAAGAAATGTGCTCATTGTTTCAGGACTTTTTTTTAGCATAATCTTGGTGAGTGAGGGGCAGGCACCCGGGGCTGCGGGAAGACCACGTGATTGGCCTGCATCCACTGCTGGAGGGTCTGGGTTCAAGTCCTGCTCAGCTCCAGCCCCGGCTTCCTGCTGGCCGGCAGCCGTGATGGTGCCAAGAACCTGGTCCCTGCCACCCACCTGGGAGACCTGGATGGCGCTCCAGGCCCCCGGCCTCAGCCTGGAACAACCCTGGCTTTTGAGGGCATTGAGGGAGTGAACCAGCCAGTCTGTCCCTCTCTCTCTTGCTCTCTCTCACACTACCTTTCAAATAAATTTAAAAATTCAATTAAAAAAACTTTTTAAAGAAAATCAAACCATATCATCAAGCCTAAAAGAACCTTCCCCAAAATATTGGAAGTGATTATCTCAGGGAAGTGAGATTGAAGGTGAACTTTTATCTTCGCTTTGGTTACCAGTGGGTTTTCCCTGCTCTGCAATGCAATTTTTATTTTTTTTATTTGAAAGGCAGAGAGGCCTCCCATCTCCCTGGTTCTCTCCTGGGCTGCAGCCGGACCAGGCAGAAGCCAGGAGCCGGGCATCCAGGTGGGCGGCGGGGACCCGGTGCAGGACCACCCCCTGCGGCCTCCTGGGCGAGCGGCGTTTGAAAGCGGGATGAGCAGACAGTATCTAGCAGGAGCAGATGCACGGTGTGCCGCAGTCAGGAACGGGGTGGCCGCCGCCACTAGTACGCAGCTGCGTGGCTTTTCCAAGACCTCGGCGGAGACAGCGCCGCGGCCTCGCAGAAGTGCCTGCCCGCAGGCTCCGCCCCCTTCCCTGCACTCGCACCCGCCCCTCCCCGGGCCCCTCCCCTGCCCGCGTCGTACCCTTGATCCCGCCCCCCGGCCGTGCGTCCACCGGAAGTGCCCGCGCGCGGGCAGCTCACTTCCGCCCGGCAGGTGACAGCCGCGGGGCTCGGAGCAGCCGGCGGCACGGACGCACCGGCAGGGTGGGAGGAGGAGCAGGAGGCCGCGGACATTTTGCTGCCGAGCCGAACCGAGCCGTGGCTCCAGGAGCCGTTCGGACTTGCCGGTGAGGAAGCAGGGGGCGCCGCGAGGTAGCAGAAGGAGCGGCGTGGGGGCGTCGGGGGGTCTGAGGTGAGGGGTTTGTGGGGGTCAGAGGTCACGGGGAGGACGCGGCGCCGTGGGCGCGCGGCGGCGTCCCGGGGCCGGACGGGGCGGAAGGACTCGGGTTCATTCATTCGCGCCCGCTTGGCCGCCGGCCCGGACCGCGGGCGCCCCGTGTCCGTAGGCGCTCTCGGGGCGCCCGCCCGGAGACTCCCGGACCTTAGGCCCCGAGACTCCCGTCTCTGGCCGGGTGGGGGAAGCTCCTCTGCGGGCTCTGGTTTCCCTTTTCACCGTTACCCCCGTGGTCATCCCGAGGCCTCGTCGGCGTCCAGGGCCGAGGTTCAGAAAGGAAAAATTAAAGTTAGAAAAGAAAAAACCAGCCTTGTGCCGCCCGGGTGGACTTGGGCTTGGTCTGTCCGTTGGCGCTCCGGGGACGAGTGGACGGCATGGGGACGTCTGAAAACAATGCTAAGAGATACTGAGGACCCCCTGCTGAGTCTTGAGCTCCTACTGTGTGTGCGGGGCTGTGCCGAGCGCTTTACGTACAGTGCACATCGAGTCCTTTGCCAGGGCGCTGGTGTTTCGTCCCCCTTTTATCCAGGGAGGTCAGATCACGCATGGAAGGCCAGTTGGGCAGGAGGGGCAGAGCCAGGGTTCCTGCTTAGGCGTTCGGGGCCTCAAAGTACAGAGACCATGGAGAGAGGGGCGCCGTGATCGGGCGTGAGGGGCTGGTTCATATTTTTAGGGGCGTGGGTCAGGGTCAAGACGTGCCCTTATTGCCTGATCTTTCCTAAGGGGCATTTGGTTTGCTTTCTTCACCGTGAGGCAGCCGGGCAGGCTGTTGTAAGTGATCTTGCAGGGGCACGCGTTGAAGGTTTTCCTGACTGTTGGGAACTGTGAGACCCCGAACGGGTTATCCGTGAAGCCGATGGTTCGGATCTCTTGAGAAGTAGCTCAAGAACTGCTTTCCTTTTGGAATAAAGAGGGCACCCAGATGACCATCAGGGGGTCTTGGGTGTGGAAGCGTGTACCCAGAGGGAAGTCTTCGCCCCTCTGAGAAGTGTGCAGAGCCCACGTGGTCCTGCCTGGGAGAGGAGACGCTTGGTGGCCGAGGGTCAGGCTCTGTGTCTGAGCTTTCTTCCAGATAGTGACCACTGCACTTCCGCCTCAGTTTCCCAGACAGCAGCGTGAGAAAGACCTGCTGCCTTCCTACCCTCTCCTGGTGTCTTTTTTTTTTTTTTTTTAAGATTTATTTTAGGAGCTGACACTGTGGCGTACTGGGTAAAGCCGCTTCCTGTACTACCGGCATTCCATGTGAGTGCTAGTTTGAGTTTTGGCCGCACCATTTCTGATCCAGCTCTCTGCTATGGCCTGAGAAAGAAGTGGAAGATGGCCCAAGTCCTTGGACCCTTGCAACCTGTGTGGGAGACCCGGAAGAAGCTCCTGGCTGTTGTGGCCATTTGGGGAGAGAACCAGCGGATGGAAGACTTCTCACTTGCACTCTTTCTCTGCCTCTGCCTTTCAAATAAATAATTTGAAAGGCACAGTTACAGAGAGAGGGAGAAAGAGAGATCTTCCATCTACTAGCTCACTCCCCAGATGGCCACAGTGGTCAGGGTTGGGCCAGGCCGAAGCTAGGAGCCAGAGTCCTCTTCCGGGTTTCCCACGTGGGTGCAGAGGCCCAAGGACTTGGGCCATCCTCCGATGCTTTCCTAGGCACAAGAGCCGGGAGCTGGATCAGAAGTGGAGCAGCAGGGACTCGAACCAGCACTCATATGGAATACCAGCTTGCGGGCTGCAGCTTCACCCGCTACGCCACAGTGCTGGCCCCTCTTAGGTGTCTTAACCGTTAATCTCCCTGTGCGGTGTCCACCTGCTTTTGAAGAAAGCTCTGATAGAGGGCTGGCGCCGTGGTTCACTTGGTTAATCCTCCACCTGTGGCGCCGGCATCCCATATGGCGCTGGGTTCTAGTCCCGGTTGCTCCTCTTTCAGTCCAGCTCTCTGCTGTGGCCTGGGACGGCAGTGGAGGACGGCCCAAGTGCTTGGGCCCTGCACCCGCATGGGAGACTGGGAGGAAGCTACTGGCTTCGGATCGGCATAGCTCCGGCCGTAGTGGCCATTTTGGGGGTGAACCAACGGAAGGAAGACCTTTCTCTCTGTCTAACTCTGTCAAAAAAAAAAAAAAAAGCTCTGATAGAAATGTTAGGGTAGTACTGGTATTCTCTTTAACTCTATGATCTGTTCTCCTAGTGCCACTGACTTCACAGAAACTTAATATTGTCACCTTATCCTCCTCCTTCCAAGGGAAGAATCGGGATAAAGTGACTTGTCACAGAAGGCGGGAACATGAGAGAGCACAGGTCATCTGTGCCCTGAGTTGAGCTCTCACCGCTCAGATGGCGTGAGGACCGGCTCCACTGGGTCTCAGGGTTGCCGAGTGTGAGAGTTGGGCAGGGGCTCCTCCCTGAGCGGCTTGAAGGTCTCCCTCAGGTCTGATGGAAAGTGCCGTCCAACCCAGTGGGTCCTGGCTTCCAGCTCCTGTGACCTGGGTGATTTACCTGGGCTGGGGCTCCTTTAACTCCGCTCTGAACTAATACTGCCCCTCTCCCTCCACCCCTGCCTTGTGTTCGGGTTCAATGAGGAAATTTGTGCAGAGCCTGTGGGTACCTTGGTCGCAGCCAGTTAACTCGCACTGGGGCCTGTGACTGCGGACGTCTGGGCGTTACTTCCCTCTGCAGACAGAGGCCTCTCTGTCTTCAGAACGTCTCCCACCCTTTTTGTTTCATTTCCTAAAAGTGTTTCAGAACTGCTTGGTCTGTTGGTCCTGCTGGCCCTGGCCTTGGACTTTGATCGTTCTCCAGCTGTCCTCTGAAACTAGCGCTTGTCTTAACTGCTGGCTTCCCAGAAAACCCCCAGCTCAGCAGGCCTTCAGGGAGCTGGGGTGTGTTTCTCAAAGTTGAGCTGTCATCTGTTCCTTGAAGAATTTGCTTTTTCCGGGCGGGCCTAAGATAGGTCAGTGATGTTATCACAGTCCAGAAATGATTTTCCTGTTCTTTATCTCTTCACATAGAGAGGAACAAATACCCCAGAAAGAAAAATGTCACCCAAGCAATTGGAATCCTTTATAGAAAAAATTCTCTGGCCGGCGCTGTGGTTCACTAGGCTAATCCTCTGCCTGCAGCGCCGGCACTCCAGGTTCTAGTCCCGGTTGCTCCTCTTCCAGTCCAGCTCTGCTGTGGCCCGAAAAGGCAGTGGAGGATGGTCCAAGTCCTTGGGCCCTGCACCTGCATGGGAGACCAGGAGGAAGCTCCTGGCTCCTGGCTTTGGATCAGTGCAGTACGCCGGCCATAGCAGCCATCTGGGGGTGAACCAATGGAAAAGGAAGACCTTTCTCTCTCTCTCTCACTCTCTCACTGTCTAACTCTGCCTGTCAAATAAAAAAAAAAAAAAAAAATCTCACTTTGGAATCCATCATTGTTCTGAGACTAAAACTCGGGTTCCTCAGCACAGCATTCAAGGCGTTTTGGGCTCTGACCCTGCCTTCCCCGTCTCCCCCCACGCCTCCACCACTTCCCAAGCTCCGGTCCAGCTCAGCTTTGTGCCCCTTCTGTGAGCCCCAACTCTACACTTCGCTGTCTTCAGTTTGAGCTCTTCTTTTTTTTTTTTTTTTTTCCTTAAAGATTTATTTATTTATTTGAAAGAGTTACACAGAAAGAGAAGGAGAGGCAGAGAAAGAGGGAGGTCTTCTATCCAATGCTTCACTCCCCAGATGGCCACAGTAGCCGGAACTGTGCTGATCCGGAGCCAGGAGCTTCTTCTGGGTCTCCCATGCGGTTCAGGGGCCCAAGGACTTGGGCCATCTTCTACTGCTTTCCCAGGCCGTAGCAGAGAGCTGGATTGGAAGTGGAGCAGCCGGGACTTGAACCGGCACCCATATAGGATGCTGGCGCTTCAGGCCAGGGCGTTAACCCGCTGCGCCACATAGCGGCCCCAGTTTGAGCTCTTCGTGATGCCTGACCGCCACGTCCTGCTCCTCCTGCTCCACTTGCTTCGCTGGGTCACTCTTGATGCTTCCTGCTTGACCATCACCCTCAGTTTGCAGGCCTGAACCAGGTGCCTCTCCTGAAATCACTGTTCATGGTAAGCCGTGATTGTCTGCTGGACTGCCTCCTAAGTGAGCAGCTTCTAATCCTTGGCAGGGATTGAGGTTAACTGTGTCTCCAGCATCCAGTTTGATGTCTGGCTTCAGGGGAGTACTTGGTGACTGTTTGCTGAATGAGCAAATGAATGAATAACATATTAGGTGGTTAGGTTACTCTGAAACTGGCAGAATTGAGAACACTGTCCAGGTGATCTCCTGTCCACCCTCATGTCATCCCAGAGGGAGAGTGAGAAATCTGACCCGTGGTGAAATTAACTACTCTCCAGCTACTGCTGCTACCGCAACCAGCAAGTGTTTTTAGGGTGTCCAGGGATCTGGGGGTTTGAAGGAGCCAGGAGGTGGTAAACACTGTGTAGTAGTGGCCAGCGTTTATCAAGTGACCTCATGGGCTGGGCACTGCTTGTTCTTGAATTGTCTCCTGTTAATGGAGCTCGGGGTGGGAGGCTTGGCTGCAGCTCTAGACCACCACGTGTCACACTCTGTATGTTTTTAGCCCTGAGGTTGGCCTCTGACACCCCCCTCCCCCCAAGGAGGACTCCCTGAAATCAGGAGGCCTCTCCTAATTAAGGTAGGAGTGTGGCTGTTTGACACCAGAATGCTCAAGATTCATCATCAGCCAGGCAGCCTTAGTCACTGACCCCCTCCACTGCTGTCACCCCGCCTCCTCCCGGGGACTGTGAGCTGGAAGATGCGGAAGATGGTAGATTTGGAAACCAGATCTCAAAAGGTTTAAAACCCAAACATTCAGTGTTCATTGCGTCACTTCAACAGCTGAGCTGTGTAGAGGAGTAGACTTGAGTGG